ACACCAGCCCCTCCCTCCCCTACCCAAATCCCTCCCCCCCCCACCAGCCCCTCCCTCTCCCCTACCCATCCCTCCCCCCCCCCACACCAGCCCCTCCCCCCCACACCCCCCTCCCCTACCCCCTCCCCTCCCCTCCCCCCCCTCTCATGGGCAATTCACAGGACGTCAGAGCGACACCTCCGGCCCACACGAGTGCCTACCGCGACCGCAGTGTCTGTCCCTTCGCCGTGGCCCCAGACCCTTGTTTATGCCAGACAACCGCGTGGCTTCATGTGCCCGTCATCTGGCGTGGCCTCCGCTGTCCGTCTCCTCTCTCTTCGTCGTTTCTGTCTTCGCTCCTCTCTCTTCGTTCCTTTCGCTGTCTTCTCTCTCTTCGCTGTTTCCTCTCTCTTCGTATTTCGCTGTCTTCTCTCTTTCGCTGTTCCTCTCTCTTCGTCGTCTCCTTTCGCTGTCTCCTTTCGCCGTCTCCTCTCTCTTCTCTCCTTTCGCTGTCTCTTTCGCCTCCTCTCTCTTCGTCGTCTCCTTTCTTCTCTTTTCGCTGTCTCCTCTCTCTTCGTCGTCTCCTTTCGCCGTCTCCTCTCTGTCGGTAGCCGTTGGGTTAAGACCTTAATTAGCGTCAGATTTGTGTGCGGGATGGTGAAGTGGCGTATACTGTGTGGTAGAATGAAAATTACGTCGATAGATTGAGGTATAGTCGATACATAGATAGATGAATAGATGTAAAGTAGATAGATAGATAGATAGATGTAAAGTAGATACATAGATAGATAAATAGATGTAAAGTAGATAGATAGATAGATAGATAAATAGATGTAAAGTAGATAGACATTTCGCACATAAGCGACATGGAACCTGGTCCACATATCCGATACATAGATAGATAAATAGATGTAAAGTAGATAGATAGATAGATAGATAAATAGATGTAAAACAGATAGACAATATTTCGCACATAAGCGACATGGAACCTGGTCCACATATCCTGTGGGTCGTTAGGTGTTATTCCCGATTTTCGCTGCATCGGCCGCATGGCAATGAAATCCGGATGAATAAAATAATTATCGTCCGGAGCGAATCTGACCCGCGTTGTGCCTTCGTCGGCCGGAAAACGGACACCGGGCTGATCAAAACAAAAGCGAAATCCTATCTTTTTTTGAGTCCTCGTCTCCCCTGGGGCGCGGAGGGAGGGCGGGGGGAAGGAGGAGGTCCAGGTCATCTCGGGTGGCACTGACCTGGCATCACCCTCCCCCCCCCGTCCCCACCACCCCTCTTCCTTATGCGGAAACATGTGCTGGAGTTATTATTATTTTTTTTGCTTCCTTTCTTTTTCTCTGTTCTCGTCTTTCTTTTTTCTCCGTTTTTCTCCTCCTGTCCCATCGCCTCTTTTTTTTTTTTTTTTTATCCCCTTCCATTTGTCATACTTTTTTCTCTCTATTTCCCCCTCTCTCTTTCTCCTCTTCTCTTCCCACCCTTTTCTCCTCTCCGTCCTCCTCCTCCCTTCTTCCCCAGCCTCCTCAGACTCCTGCTGGGCGCGTTGGGGTCAGGTCAGGCGGGGGTCCGCGAGAGGCCACCGGGGGGTCGCCCTCCCCCTCGTGACCCCCGGGCGAGTCGCGGTCCGGCCCCGTCCTCTGCTTGACGTCGCGGTGTGTTTAGCCGTAATAGCGGGGACGTAAAATGAGTGGCGGCGGTGGGGGGAGGGGGCGCGACGCGGGATTTCGGCGCCGCGTCCGAGTGGTGTTGGGCGGAGTTGGTTTTGATTAGTGTTCGGGCTTGTAGGTATGGGTGGGTGTGTATGTATATATATATATATATATATATATATATATAATATATATATATATATATATATATATATATATATATATATATTATATATATTGTATGTATGGATTTTTTTTTTTTTTTTTTTTTTTTTAAAGATTAATGCCCAAAATGGTATTATCTGACAGCAGCGGAAATATTAATGACCATGTGCCAGTACTATCTCCTGACACGCCAAAGGAGTTATTCTCTCTCTCTCTCTCTCTCTCTCTCTCTCTCTCTCTCTCTCTCTCTCTCTCTCTCTCTCTCTCTCTCTCTCTCTCTCTCTCTCTCTTCAATCATCCCCCTCCCTTTCGTCCGCTCTCCTCCCCCCTCCCTTTCCTCCTCTCTCTCCCTCCCCCCTTCCTTTCGCCCTCTTTCCCTCCCCCTCCCTTTCCCCTCTCTCCTTACCCCCCTCCCCCCCCCTCAGCTCGACCCCGATCTGCCTCAATTGCTAGCCCGTGATCCTGGCCCCACCATGCCATGAGGACGACAGACGTGGGTGTGAGGCGGCGGGCGCTGGCAGGTATTACGGCGTGTTCCGTTGGGCACCTGTTGGCACTCTGATGGCGGAGGCCCTGAATGGTGCCTCTCTTATCGCTCTAGTTGGAGTGCCTCGCGGCGTTTTGGGGGGGTGTTGAAAGGGAAAACGGGGACTTGGAGATAGGCCTAAGTGCGAAATGGCTTGTTTGCGCTTTAGGGTAATTATTTTTTTTAAGGTTTAGTTTTTTTTTCGTTAGTATTTTCCTGAGAGGGGAATGCTCGGAGCATATTACCGGCGGGAGGAGCGTTCGGCGGTGAGGCAGACGGGGGGCCACAGCGCCGCGCCAGGGGGGAGAGGCCCTCACGCCGCCGCCAGGGTCTTCGACGGACGGCGGCGGTGGGGTAGGCTTGGGGAAGGTGTGGAGGGGGAAGGGGGGAAGGGGGGGGGTTTATGTGGCTCTCCCACGCCTATGTTTACGGAGGGAGGCAGGTCTAATCCCCGGTCAGTCCTGCGAGCTCTTCGGGGCCGGAGCCTAATCTCGGGACGGCATGTCGACGTGGGCAGCGGCGCTGTGCTTGGCCAGTCGCTGTTATATATATGTATATA